CAGAGACATACTCAAGTAAGATATACTATTTTAAATTACTTAAAGTACTAGTAGTATTCGACAGCATATTATCAACAATTATATTCGAAGCGTCGATGAATTGTAGATACATATTTATATATATCCTTGGCTCATTTAATTGCAATAATATTCATTATATTTTTTTAATGTGGAACTTTTTTTTGTTGCTCAACAGGTGTTCGCTAAATGTAATAACTTGTGGATGAAAGCGGGAAGACCAAAATCTTCAGAAATAATGCGAGAGGAGTTAGGTATTTTGCTTAGTTACCCAGTTGTCACCAGATGGAATTCTACTTATGACTCCGTGCAGAAAATTATATCTAGAGAGGAAAAGCTTTCTGTCATATGTACAAAATTGGAACTTCCAGCATTTACCGAAGAGGACATGCTTTATCTTAAGGATTATGCTTCTGCTATGAAACCTTTCGCTGACGCACTCGATTTTTTGCAAGGAGAAAAAGGAGTTTTTTATGGGACGCTTATTCCGACTTTGGTAACGATCAAAACCAAAATTGATCGTATTATTAATAATGGCAAGGAAAACTACCTGAAGCAACAGCTAATTTTTTTGCAAAGTCGATTGTTTGATAGGTTTGAGAAATATTTTACCTTATCTTCGGAAATCAATGACGCAATTGTGGCAGCCGTACTTCATCCTGAAGTAAAACTTCNTATCTTAAGGATTATGCTTCTGCTATGAAACCTTTCGCTGACGCACTCGATTTTTTGCAAGGAGAAAAAGGAGTTTTTTATGGGACGCTTATTCCGACTTTGGTAACGATCAAAACCAAAATTGATCGTATTATTAATAATGGCAAGGAAAACTACCTGAAGCAACAGCTAATTTTTTTGCAAAGTCGATTGTTTGATAGGTTTGAGAAATATTTTACCTTATCTTCGGAAATCAATGACGCAATTGGGGCAGCCGTACTTCATCCTGAAGTAAAACTTCAGTGGTTTGCTCCAATTAGAGATTTGACTAGGAAATCTGTAGATGAAGTTAAAAAACTTGTAATTGACTACGTTGCAGACAACCATGTAGTTGACTGTGATGCTGCCGAAGACCTGATTCTGTCAAGAATAGGCTCTTTCTACGACTTTGGCGACGAACAAAATAGTTTTGGTAGCAAAAAATAAATTATGTATACATGCTTCTTATTTCAGTATATTGTATCTTTTTCAGAGCAAACTACGGAT